ATCATGTCCTTTCTTCATTCTATTACCGTCCAACCCCCCTGAACTGAGGAAAGAGATGGGGCAGAATGAGAAACCCAGTTCTCAAGGGAACTCAGAATAGGGAGCAGACTTTTTTGGAAGGTCTATGCACAGCTGGAGTCTTCATCTGCTTAAAAAGGTTGCCTGTCAGATAGAGGTTTCATTTGGGAGCCACAAACTTCATGGGAAGCAGCAGCTTGTGCAATGTTTGTGAGAAGTGAAATGTCTAGGACATAAAAATCATCTTGGTCAGGCCTTGTCTTTCCATCACCCCATGTTAAATAATAAATATACACCTAATGGAACTGAGTCTGACTSAAGGATGCAGAGTAAGTGAAGCCAGAGGAGACCTGTGTCTTCCCCCTTACTTCATCATCAGTGAGTAAATGGGTCACTGGTAAATGAGATCAAAGTAAAGCTCCATCTTTTTTGTTTTATTCTTATACTGAACCTACTGCAACGAGATGTTGCTCAAACACACAGAGCTCTGCTACAAACCACTAAATAGAAATATTACAAATGGTCTCACCAAAACCACTTACGATTCTACTCCAGGCTCAAGAAAAATTGAGGAAACAGTTTTTCATTCTAGAAGTCCTTCATTTGCTTTTAATTGTGCAGTAGGATGCCTTGGGACCTGGTCTTTCTTTCTCCTTTTCTTTTTTTTAATTTTCTATTTATTAATATTTAATCTCTGTACGGTGCAGAAGAAAATCATTTCTGCAATAACGTCAGAATGGGAGGGTTAGAAATCAATAGCCAGGCTCTCACAAGACACATTCAATCCCTACTTAATCCATTTTCGACTGCTCCCCTGTCTTATTAGAACAGCCAATTTTTCCCACAATTGTTAGGTTAGGATATTGAGGGTGCAGGATGGGATTGAAAGAATCTAGACAAGTATAAACCTCCTTCCTGCGAAAAGCAGGAAAGGGAGCATAGCCATTGTATTTGAAAGAGAAATCCAGATCTTATTCTGAACACAAATCCCTGCTCCAAAAATATTCTGAAAGAAAGTGTGTCCCCAGCTCCATACTCATTGTAAACACTAACAGATTCACAGAATCTGTGTCCTGCAAGCACTGTCTGGATGCCCTGAGCAAAAGCCCTACCTCAGACTGGCACATTTCTCCACCTCTGCTTTTTTTGTTTTAAAAGGTCATTGCGCACATCCAGACCTCTCAAATATGACCTTTCCTAACACGTGGGTTCGTTTTGCAGAGCCGGAGTAGGCACATGGATGTACTCAATAGGAGAAGCCATCATCTTTAGAAAATGTTTAGCAGTAGAGTCCCATGCACCTTCCTAAATATCACTAAAAAGTGCAGATAAGCAACAGGCCCTTGGTATTACTCTTCAGCAGAGTGAAGACCCATGGTTCTCCAGGAAATATGCAGAGGGTGTAGCCAAAGCCAAGGGTGCTCTGTGGCTGCCGGGCATAAAACATCTAATCTTAGTGCTGAAGGGACAGCAGCCTGAGCAGGCTGGGACAGACGAACAGGAGAGGCTGAAAGGGACTTGGGAAGAAGCACGGACTAGATGAGGTCTGTCCACCCAGGATCCTCACTGCAAACTCAGGCTGGATTTATATGCCCTCGGAAAGTGAAGCAGATTCGGTTTTGYTCTTGTAGGAGCATGGTGGCCACGCCAGGCAGCCGGAGCTCTGCCTGATTTACCAGGCTGCCTCTGAGCTTGTCTGATGCAASTAGAGGATTTGCCAGCAGAGGGAACTGCACACCAGATAATGCCACCTTCTGTGCTGAAACACGCAGCAAGCCCTGGAGCTCTGCAGAGTCTGTCCTCTACTGTCTGAAAGAGAGATGTTTCAGGCATCTGTGCCAGCGCTCTTGACAGACTTGCTGTGAGTTGGTACTTTTTTTTGTTGTTGTTGAAGATTTGGGGAGAGAGGGGTAGATTGCTCAAGAGAGACCCATTCAATCAGGAAAACAGAGCAGAGAGCTGTAAACAAAAAGTCCTACTAATTCTTACAGCCATCTTCTTGCTGCCACCTACTGAACAGGAAAAAGTAAGAATATCAGACATAAACAGAGCAAAGGCCTGTGCTCTGAAATAAACCCTTATCATGAAGAAGCTGCCTCAAATTAACTTATTTCCAAACAGTCAGAACCAGTACCCGATTGCCTTTGCTTATGCTTTTCCTACCCACTTATTCTTGCGGGTTCTTTATCATCACATCTGAGGGAAGAGACAGGCTATTCACCCACTATTTCAAGCAGTTCCAGCTGAGCTTGCTGCCTGTTTACTCCTTTTGTCCTAGCACTGTTTGGACTCCACAGGAAATGATCCACTCATAGGCCACTTGAATGCCACTTCACTTTCCACTTTCCATCTGTTTGTCCAAATAAAAGGAAGAAGTCTAAAGACTGTCAAGCCTGATGCAGTGACAGCTGCCACCAGGAACAAGGTCGTATTTATAGGGCAGTGGTCTAAAAGACAGCATGCCGGATTACAACCCAAGACCCATAAAAACTCATGGATCTTTCTGTGCTCATTGCCCTTTCAGATCCTCTCTGAGCATTAACGACTTTGGATTACCTCTGTCTTGATCTTCTGGGAAGAGGAGGATCGAGCGTACTCAGCTGATTTCTGGGCTCTGAAGAAGGTGGTCGCTAGGTGTCAGCGTGGGACTTCCATAGAGGCAAGGGACCTTGTCAAGGTAATAGAATCCCTTTAAATTTATGGAGGCAGACGTAGGGAACTCAATAATCAAACCACTGGCACTACTACTATTTATAAAATGGTTGTGACTCTTTCAGTCTTAATAAAGGAATGAGTCTTACCTTAAGGRACTTACAGCTGTAATACATGGTATAACTGCAGCTATAATAGTCTGCTGTCGACTGTTAAATATTCATTCCAAATTTTGAARATGTAAAACAGAAGAAAAATCATTTCTAGCACAAGTCAATCCTGCTTTTACCAATCACTGCTCACCATTTTCCATGAGAGAGGTTTATGACAGTTTATGACATTCTCTAGTAAGTCCTTCTATTTGTCTATTATCACTTCCAGCGTGGGCCTGCCTCCAGAAGCAAGCAGAAGTCTCACTCTGGTCATCTGTGTTTGAAAGCCACTATAAATATAACCAGTGATTTGCCCCATCACTGTAGTAGACCAAGGGGTCCAGTTACCGCAAAACAATCAAGTAATAAAACCAGTAAGCACTTTTCATGGTCTAATAAGCCAGAGAAATGCAGTAAAAGAAGAGAGGCAGGGCCAGTTTTATGTGCTCCACTAACCTGAGCTTTAGGAGCTYAACTCTTTAAACATTCAGAGCAGTGTCGCTCTGCAGTGGCAGGAGCTCCGTCACCCGGTGTGAGTGTGCATGTGTCACCACGGATCTCTGTGCTCATGGTCCTGGTGTGGAAGAGGAAGGGAGACAAGCTCATCATTTCGTGTTAGCGCAGAGCATGAAGGGAGGTGATGGGGAAAGGACAAGCTAACTGCTCCTTGTGGACTGCCACGTTCTGGGGAAAGCYGCGTGTCACCTTAAAACAGCCAAGTTATTGTTTACTACAGCAAACAGCCTACCAGGTGCATCGGCATCAAGTGGTGGTGTGTGTCCCCAGGCAATACCCACCTGCTTGCATCTGCGCCTCACCGCACACAGGGTGTCCTGTCCTTTCTTGAAGGCACGTATCACATCTGCACAAAACTTCTGCTTTATAGCAAAACTCCCGACCACAGAATGGTCTCAGACTCCTAAAACAAAAGCTGAGACTTGGGCCGCCTATTATCATGTAAAGATTAGGCTATCCCAAAGCAGACTGCAGCACAAATCACCGCATTTGCCCTTCTCCATGAATCTCTCACCACTGCTGGTCATTGCTTGGGATTCTCCATGAGATTTCTCTGAGTCTCGGCAAGGACACCTTCACAGCAATGATTTCTCATACACCACAAGCCATCGTGCTATCAAAATGGTTAAGGAAACCAGATTTGTCTCCTTCCTGAGGTTAGCACTCATTTACTGGTACCCACAAATGAGAAGGACAAAGCGTCCCTTCACAATCAGATGGAGTCACCAAAGATCAAATTTCTTTTTCCAGTATGTGGAACAAAGGAACAAAGTGAGTCTTTGAAGAAAATAGAAATTGATGGRGCCTTTGCCTTGGAAATCTCTCTACGTATCAGGTACCTCCTCTGTCATGCTTAGCTAAATCGAAATGACTTGATCAGCAAGCCATATCCACAGCTGTGAAGACCTTGCACAACTTTGCCTACCATTGCAACACGGAGGAGTTGGTGGTTGCTAGTCTCAAGTCAGGTTTATTCCCTGGTTTTCCTTGAGAATAAGACTGGAAAGCTCTCCATAATATATGTCCATCCCTAATCAATGCTTAATTTGCTTTGGGTCTAACAGAGGGTGTTTCCTGTGAGAAGGGGAGACTTCCAGCCCAGGTATCACCTTCTAAGAGCTGAATCCGCTCTCCCATCTCGACAGYGCTTAGCTATCAGAAGCCAGATACTGAAGTAGAAAGTTGTGTTTTCTCTCCCCTTCCAGCTTATTTTTCCCTCTGGGTTTCCTAGGACAGGGTCTCCTGTCGTCCCTGGAGAATTCCACRGGAATTGTCACACGTTGCCCAAACTGTCGGGGCTGCCGAAGGTTTGGGGTGGCCAGAGGAGCACGGGGGGCTGCAGAGGGGAGGCTGGGGCAGCGCCGAGCCGCGCAGCGGCGGCGGGGGGCGGCCGTTAGCGACCGTTAGCGACCGTTGGGCGACCGTTAGCGACCGTTAGGCGGCCGCCGCCGTCCGCGCCTTCGCGCCGCGGCGCTGATTGGGCGGCGGGCGAATCCCAGCGGGCGCCTGTGCGCGATATAAGGGGCGGCGGGGCCGCGGCGGCCGCACAGCCCGCCCCGAGCCCGGGCGCAGCGCGGCGCGCCCGCCGCCTCCGCCTCAGTAGCGGGACCCTCCCCCGACACACACAGAGCCCTCTGCGCATCCCCCCGCGGCCCCGGCGCGGCCATGGCCGAGCTGAAGTCGCTGGGCGGCGACACGTACCTGGCGCTGGCCCCGGGCTACGGCCCGTCGCCCTTTGCCTACGGCGCGGTGCGCGGCGCCGAGGGCCCGCGGGGGAGCTACGCGGCGGGCGGCGGGGCCGACTTCGCCGTGGGGCCGCTGGGCAAGGCGGCGGAGAGCAGCGGCGAGCAGAGCGGCGACGACGAGGACGCCTTCGAGGGCGGCGCGAAGGGCGGCGCGGGCTTGCCCGAGCGCGAGGGCAAGCTCAAGGCRGGCGGCCTGGGCAAGAAGGCCAAGGAGCAGCGCTCGCTGCGCCTCAGCATCAACGCGCGGGAGCGGCGGCGGATGCACGACCTCAACGACGCCCTGGACGGGCTGCGCTCCGTCATCCCCTACGCGCACAGCCCCTCCGTGCGGAAACTCTCCAAAATCGCCACGCTGCTCCTGGCCAAGAACTACATCCTCATGCAGGCGCAGGCCCTCGAGGAGATGCGGCGCCTCGTGGCCTACCTGAACCAGGGCCAGGCGCTGAGCGCCCCGCTGCCCGCCACGCTCAACCCCTTYGCCCAGGCGGCCGTGTACCCGTTCGGCGGCTCCGCCGTGCCCGCCTGCCCCGAGAAATGCACTGCCTTCACCGGAGCCGCCTCTGCGCTCTGCAAACACTGCAGCGACAAGCCTTGACTCCCGGCCACTTCCCCTCCGGGGGCTTTTTATTCTTTTTGCCATTTGTCTGTCTGTTTTCTGCGCGCTTTTCTTCCCACTGCCATCAGCCCCGGCCTCCTACTGTCAGTTAAGTCTGGGTTTTCTTTTTTGACTTCCTTAAACTTCCAGCCATCCCCCTCTCCCCTTTCCCTCCTCTGTTTGGAAAGATTTATTTGAACTCAAACACTTTAAAATGCATTTAATTTATCCCCTTCTCCTCTGTGCAACTTTCTGTAGAGTTGTTTCCTTCCCAGCCTGTTAATGGACYGCGAGCTGTCGCGCACAAAGTTGCCGAGCAGTTTTGGCAACAGAATTGTAGGAAGGGAGAGAGAGGCACCTGGAAAAGAAACCTCAGAGAGATTTCTTTAGGATGATTCACCTAGTTAGAAATGTTTATTTTAATAGGAAAGGAAAGGGGGAAAAMATAAATCCCCAGAGCTACCCAATGTTTCACAAGCGCATCCAGAGCAGGGGGTTCCTGTGCAGCCAGTGGGAATTTGCCTGTACCTGCAAATCCCGACTGGAAATGTCAGTGGGCCGGCTCACGGGGTGGAGGAGCGGGGGGGTGCTGAGAAAACTGCAGATGCTTCAAAATAAGATGCATTTGCCTGTTCTTTCTTTTAAAACAAAGTAAGAACCCATTTGTGGACTGAGAGAAGCCTTTGATTGTATTCTGCTGCCTGCGTTCTTGCCTGTCTCTCAGCTTGGTTGAGTTTTCAGATGATTTTTTCCCAAGTCATCYCTCATCACGATAAACAAAACAAAAGGTCACGTAACGTATTTATATGTATTTATAACAAATAAAAGACATGCATACCCAATCTCTCTGTCCTACATGTCTCTAATCCAGTTGGCAGCCTAAGCAAAACTCCCGCTGAAGTGAGGTCTGAAAGAGAAAGCACAGCAGCTCTTTGCAGAGGATCAGCRTGGTGAAGTTAGGTAAATGAAAAAGCTCTGGACATTTAACTCCCTATCCTCAGGATTTTGCTTTTTCTCCAGTTTGAGCACGCAGAAGAATGTGGCTTAAATCCAGCATTTAGTTACGCAGGTGGAGATGGACTTGGTGTCTGTGGGGGCTTTGCCCTCCAAGCTCAAGCTGTGGTTTAGGGGTTATCCATTGTATGCTCAGCTCCAAGGGCACCCATTTAAAACATGCAGGGAAGGAAATCACTTAAAGGCTGCTTTTCCCTTTTGCTTGTTTTTCTGTTGTATCTACAACTTGCCTCTAGACTTGTGTGGGATTTGGGCCGCTTCGGTGTCATCTCTAAGCTAAGAACCTCTTGCCAAGAACGGACTGCACTGCTGCAAGTTACCAAGTGAGTCCCCCACCGGCCAAGGTTTTGTTGTCGTGTTGCTTTGCTTGGGTTTTGAATGCTTTGGTGCCTTGTATGCTTCACTGATCATTATATAATCATAATTGAGGTGCGCTCAGTGATTTGTGCTCAGCTCGGAGTACCCACCCGATGTCAGAACAGCCCCGTAAACTGGTACAGCCGCAGCCCCAGGGGCTGGAGCTGTCCGTGGCCATTTGCGTTAGGGTTGGGGTGTAACTATTTAAGGTTATTAAACCAATTTCCATGGCTGTCGCTAGTGTTATGCTAATTTGAAAAGGACTGCCGTCCCTCTAAAGCTGCTTGTCTGTGGCACTTAATTTTAATTAATACATTTCCGAGAGACTTTTTGTGTTTGGAAAATGAAGTGTGTGATTAAGCCTCATTCATAAAGACATATGCTTAAAACTGGTTCCTGCTCATTTCCATTTTTATATCTTCATTTTGACTTTTTCTCGCAGAAGAGTTTTACAGACCAGCTTATCTGTTTTACCTCTTTCCTTAAAAGTCTTGAAAATATTCTTACAAGGCATCTGATCAAATCCCCTACTAAAACAAAATTGCCTGGAAACTGCAAATCAGCAAAAGTCACTTAAAATTCTGCGGACTGAGTTGCTGCTTCCAGCTATTTCGGAAACAGGGTCAGTTTAGCGCAAAATCATGATTTTAAGATAAATATTTAATTCTGGTYAAAATAACTGTAAATCAAGCAGTTGGAAAATAGTTTAACTGTTTAGTTTTCACTGTGACTTGAAATAGYTGGAAAATAAATCACCTGTTTAATATTAGGTATGGATTTGATTTTTGTCAGACTTGTATTAATAACAATTTTATTAATTGCTTCTTTTTAAAATAATTATGAGCAAAAAGTGATTCCCCTGTAATGTCAGAGTCTGGAAAAATCTCAGTAGATTTTGGTCTTAGAAACAATTCATATTCTGGAATATTGATTTTTAGTACAACGATTGTTTAACCATTTTTTACAGTATGGGAGATTTCCTATAATATATGAGGGAAAAAAAGAGCTTGTTAATATTACCATATATATCTGGAGACTAAAAAATCTACTTTCTGGGAGTCCTTGACGTATTCAGAAGGCTCTTTTGGGAAGCACTTAGAATCAATTGGTGTCGTTCATACTCAGAGGGCTAAAAACCCTGAATTTCAAATGCAGAAGATGAAACCTGCAGTAAAGAAAATTGCATAGAGAAAGTAGCAAGGGTGACTCTCAAAGTACTGCTAAAAAGGCTAGATATTAAACAGGAGAAATGTAGAACTTACCAAAGYGATGCCAGAATAACTCATAAAACCTTGCTTAACTGTATTTTGCAGAAGTACTGTTCCAGTAAATTTAAATGCTTTAAAAAAGTCTTCCTGCAACACGCACCAAAATAATGTTAAGCAAAGTTGCCCACCTTAATGAGAAAGTTCAGCTCTGGGAGTTGCTTCTAACCACCATGGGCTGTTGCAGTATTTTAACTCTATTTTTTATATAGAGCTGCAACCCAGACTGAGCCCTTCTCCTTTCTTGCTGACAGGAGGCATCTCTTTCGGTGTGATTTACTCTTTGTGTTGTGCTGCTTCTGAATCCGCTGCCAAGCGAATGCCTAAAACTGCAGGAAAGAAGGTTTTGTTGGGACGGAGCGGGCAATAAACCAACATTATCACATTTGTGCGCGTGAACTGTCAGTGTTAACCTTGCAAATGGACATGGGTATCTTGGGGGTGAGACCCTGTAATTTGTCATATGGTTTTCTCCTTCCCTGGCATAGGAAAAAACTTTGATTCTTGCATTCCATGTTAGGATTTAACTGTCTGCTTTTGATTGCTGTTTCAAAGAATATAAAGGGTGGGTTTCATTATGCTGAAAATCTTTTATTCTGTTAAAATGCTATTGTAAAATATGCTGCTTTTTTTTTTTTTAAAGAAAAAAGGAAGGATTTATGGTGTATGCTCAGATGCAACAGAAATGCAGATCATGTATTCTAAGCTTGTGGTCTTGGATATCTCGGTATGTTCATACTTCATAGAAAACACACCAAATGCCAACTTTTAATTAAAGATAATATATTGTTTTCTAACTTTATTTAGTGTTTCTTTAACTTCAAGAATAATCAGTATGAGGTGTCATTAGGAGGAGATGCAAAGAGGAGATGCTGCTGACCTGTGAGCCTCTGTGAGATACGTAATTCTAGTCATTAACCAAAACTACCATTTTATTCATCAAACTCACCTTAGTAATGCAAAGCTGGAAACAGCTTTCAATCTGCATTGCATGAGTCAGGATTTAATATTAGCAGGACTGAGCAGCCTGCAAGGTAAAATCTTGTGGAACCAAATACAGGGGAGCAACAGGTTTGAAACGGGAGGGCCCGAAGGCAGCAATCTGCTTTAGGTGTGAGCAAAAAAATTGTTAAATCACTTGCAATTTATAGAAAGAGGTCACGGGAACGTTGTGTTTTCTCTTGTCCTATAAGGCCATGTAGCTGCTTTGATGATAGAAAGTTGGACTGTCCGAATCTGGCTGCCTCTCTGGGCTTGCTTCCCTGACTTTACGGAGCAATCGTGTTCAGGATTGTTCTTTAGGTGAAGACAACACAGAGAAATGCATATGCAGAAGCTGAGGTGAATGTAGGAAGTGACCCTGGTGGTGTGTTTCTAATTGGCAGCGTTTCTGGTGAAAGGAAGATGGGCCGATGCTGCAGAGCACAGCAGTGGCTTCTGAAACCAGCCTAATTTGGCCCTCTAAAAGACTGCAGAGCACCAGAAAAATCCCTACGAGATTTATCCCTTCCCCGTATTCACCCCATAGCCTAAGCGCAGCGAGTTGAATGAAGGCCTCACTTAAAACCTACACATTTCTCCAGAGCAAACGTGTCTGTTGCCAGCTCAGTAGTGTAGGAGTGTGCGGACAGACAGACCTCCACGCTCCACATCCTAGACGTCAAAGTTCTAGTCTAGTTTTCCACAACTCGGATAAAGTTGCTGTTCAACCAAGCATTTGATGTTCCACTTTTCCCTTCTGCTTCTAGCAGTCTGCAAAGCACTGGGAATCACCACAATACAACACAATCTGGATATACTTAAGGGGCAAATTCAATGGTTTGAAGCTTGGAAAGTGTTTGCATTGTTCTGTATAGTCAGATCTCCTGAAACGCAGTGCTAGTGCATTGAAACCAAGATATTCTGCTTCCTCTTAGCAAAGCAGACGGTTGTGTGACCCACGAGCACCCTAAACGCTGCATTTCTTTGACACGCACGAGGTTGGACCTTGCAGCACATTAGAAATTTAGCAGCAGGATATTTACACATTGTTACTCGCCATATAATTCAGCATAAAAACCATCCCAAGAGCTGTTCTGATCCACAAGCGGGGGAAAATATTTTTAAAGAATATTATAATATGCCAACCTGTATTTTTAATTTTTAAACCTGCTTTTACTCTGTTATCTGCCATTTGATAGAATTTTGATTAGTACTGCAAAGTAGAAAAGTTTTTTTGTTTGTTTTCGCTAATCCTGCTTAATGCTAGAAAAGACTCTGATTATAGTAATTTTAATAATGTAAATTTGTTTGCGATACATCTTTAGTCTTTAATCCCCATTGGCATTCCATTCAAAAGGAGATGAAAAATTCGGGGATTTGTAACATTTAAATCAGTTATTCGATGAATTCTCATTCAGTTGTTCTCCTGYTTGAAATAAAAAAGACCTAATGGGTATATAACAAAATATTTTGCTATCAGATTAGTGCYGTGTTTGCATGTATTATTTTAAATAGCTTGGTACCAAGCATTTTCTCTTTACAAGAAGGCATACGTTTTTAAAAGAAGATGAAGATATTCAGCAAAGCAGGGAAAGTATCTGAAATCTTTGTCATGCATTTATAATGTTGCAAAGTATGATTTTCACCATGACCTTTCTATAATGTTTTCGTAGTCAAAATTCACATGAATGTTAATTATTCTACCTGCTACCTCAGGTTCTCGTGTTTATAAAGCCACATAGTTTTAAAGCAATTCAATCTTTGAAGTCTTCTTAACCAGAATTAAGAACAGTAAAATTTGCAKTAATGTTTATTCCTCAATTGATACTTTCAAGCTTAATTCTCAGTATTTCCTACGAGCTAAATAGACTAATCTAAAGTGTTAATATTACAATACAACAATTTGCAGTGACATTTAGCCAAGCTGTTTGTCTTAAACAAATATATATTTATATTTTTTATGATATACTTAAGGTGAGTATTCGCAAAGCAGAGACTAGCAGAAGGCAAACCATGAGTATGGGAGATCTCATACAACAGGGAATGACAACATGCTGGTTTTCAAGCGCCTTGCCTGAATGAAACAGTTAAATATATATATATATTTTGTATTTCTTTTAATTTTAAGCCTCTAATTTCATCAGTAATTGATGTTTGTTAAAATTTGCTCCCTCGATAACATTTATATTGGCTTAATTTCCCTTTCCCTGCACTGCCGTTGCCTGTGTTTACACGCATTCCTATGGAATTGTTCTCTGCACGTAACCCAACCTACCAATGGGGAAAAAAATCCTGCCTGCTCTTTTGCCTTGAGTATCTCAAAGGGAAAAATATGGCTGAGCACAAAAGCATCACCCCGTTTCGTTCCTCCAAGCCCACTTTTGTCTGAAGTAATGAGGCCATAGTCAGTTGGCTCCAAAAAGCGGCGTGATTTAGTGTGACGTACAGCRAACCATTGCAGATCCATTCGGACTGCATTCGTTATTTTAATGAGACAGAGGCAAAGCGGGGCTTTGGCCGCAAACCTTAAGATGCAAGCATAATGCGAAATGTTTGTTGATTGCCACAAGGCAACTGACATTATGGATTTTTATCGCCATCATTACGCGCCTTAAAACTCAGCACACCCAGAGATATTTAGCCCCTTCCATCCTCTCCTGCAAATGCCATAAAAGTTGCAACACTGACCTTTAAAAAACAAAAAGCAAGAGGGGGGAAGGGGTGCTTTGTATTTAATTTCTACTGTTATTAATACCTCGCGTTGCATCCTAGCRTCTGCACTTTGTTGCATATTGAATAAATATTCATGCTTTCTCATAGGAGGAGGAAGCCCCCACCAGCCCGGCGACGCGGTCACCCAAAAAAGGTCACATTCAGTTGGGCGACAGCAGGACGAGGCCCCCACCACCCAGCCTGCGCTTGATGCACTATCGGAGGTGACACTGAGGCTGGCACATCTTTGCCCAGGCAGTAATCACAGTAATGGTGTTCCTACCCACTTACCAGGGCTGAACTTTTCCGCGCGTCGGGGTAGTGCTTCCTCCTGTGGTACCAGCAGGGAAATTTCCTTGTGCTTGTGTTTGCCTTCGAGCAAACGGCAAGCAATGGATTACTGAGAGAAAAAAAATAGGCAAAATTGGGTTACCCTAAAGCCAGCTCTATGCGTATATAAGTGCACCTCCACGTGCACATGTGGTGCATTTGTGCTGTCTCCCCATGTAGCWCCCCCAGCAATGTACACACATGAGGGAATGTGTTTTTCCCGTGTATTKTTTTCCCACTCATCATTGCTGGTGTCACTGGAATGTTTTTATTACCTTGTGGCGAAACTTTGTCCAACGTCATTTGACCGTAGCACAGCAAATGCCATCACATACGAATCTTTGCACTCCTGAAAAATTGCTCTGACCTCCTCAAGGTGACAGAAAAATATTTTTAAGCATTTCAGTTGGTGCTTTAAAACAAAAATCAGTGTCTTGGGAAGGGACAGGACAGGTCATTACCTTCCCATCCTGTCACTGGCAGCGCTGCAGTGAGAATGACACAGGACCGGCACATCTCCCCTTTTAACAGTTTGCAAAAGCGTTGGCAGCGTTTTTATTTATTTACTTGCCCTGATGGTGTTGCTTGATACCTGAAGTAAGTGTCATGCACTGCGCTGTTCGCAGCGATGCCGTAAAGAAGTCCTTATGCCACCRATTTGAGATTTATACCACCTTAAGTATTCCTTATCTCCTGGCAGCTTCAGTGTAAAGCCAACCACGCAGCTGACAGCCGGGGCGGCTGCGTGCGGTGTTTACAGACGCACTGAGGCTGTAGGGGAAAAAGAGGAAAATCTCCTGCAAAATGTTAAAATGGCTGCTGACTTGGAGGCCCCTGGGTTAATTTTACATCCTCTCCAGTGTCCAAGAAAATACAATTGTACTTCTAACAAATATTCTCCCCTTGGCTTTTTTCCTCTCTTGCCTCAATCAGTTTCCTGAAAGATTYGAGGAGAGAAAACACTTTGGTTACAGGAGCTCTATTACTCCTAACACTCCCTTTTGCAATCGGATGTGGCACTGGATGGAATAATCTCGGTACTGGGAGGCTGCACAACCTGGGCGAGCTCATTCCCCATCACTTGACTCCTCTTGCAGGTGCCTGCAGAGAGAAGCACTAAACCTCCTTGTAGCAGTTCACAAAAACCCTTTTTTCCTAGGGTGAGAAACATAGCACAGAGCTACCTGAAACGCTTCTCTCCTTTGCAGATGTTTGGGATCGTTCTTGCTTTTTTAAGAGCAAACCCAAAGTCTCTTGTCCGGCAGGCGAGCTTCTGTGCATGCTTACTAAGTCCCGGCCGCTGCGCAAGTTCTCAGGCTTGCAAGCAACCTCTGCAAATGCTTTTCCCTTCGCTTGGATTCTGAGTCAACCTGCAAACATAATCATTTCGATAAAAACATGTAAAGAATTAATGTTGCATGCTTGCCCATCTGTAAATATTTACTTGCTTATGCTTTTGCAGTTAAGCCAAATACAGAAGCAGCATCTGATTTCGAGCGGGATCTCTCTGCCTTTTCCCTCCTTCTCCAGCTGCCCCGAGGCAGAGACAAGAC